CATACCCATTAGGAGAAATTATCCAATCATGTAGAAACGAGTTTAAAGTTCTTTCCCCTCCCTCTGTAATTGTGCATAAAAACTGCTTGCCATACTGGATCTGGGCTCTCGTCCCTGAAGCCACTGCTGGCTTCATACGTGAGCCCAGACTCGAGCCTGAATAAAGACCCTCGTGTGTTTGCATCAGAGCTGGCTCTTTGTGGTCTCTCTCGGATTTGAATTCTGAGTTTAACACTCAGAAGGGGATAGGGAAGGGGAGGTGATGGAGGGAACTGGAAGGGAACTGGGGGGCTCCCTCGGGGGAGGGGGTTGAGCACGTCCTCGTGAAAGGGGCGGCATCTTGGCAGGGGCCTGAAAGGTGGAAGAGGGCCAGCCGCTGAAGATCTGTGGCGAGTGTTCTAGGCAGCAGCAGCAACAAAAGCTCGGGCCTCGAGGCACAAACATGCTCCCTGTGTTTGAAGAACTGGAAAAGAGGCCAGTGGGCTGGACCTTAGGGGGGAAAGAGAAAGAGTGGGATGGGCTTGGTGAGTTAGAAAGGGCCAAGCCATGCAGAGACCTCAGGAAGGAGCATCACTTCCCGTTTAAGCTACTGGGAAAGCTGTGAATGGTTATAAGCAGAGGCCTATCGTGAGCAGATTCCATGAACACGTGATGAGAATTCTCCTTCCCATTTTCTTCCTTCTCTCCCTCCCTCTCTCTCTCTTTCTTGTCAAGGCCTCATCCTGTCATCCAGGCTGGAGTGCAGAGGCACAATCATGGCTCAACACAGCCTCGACCTCCCGGGCTGAGGCCATCCTTCCACCTCAACCTCTCCAGTAGCTGGGACTACGGGTGTGTGCCACCAGGCCCAACTATGTTTTTGTGTTTTTTTTTATGGAGTCGAGGTCCCACCACATTGCCTAGGCTGTCCTTCTCATTTTCTAACATCATTCTTTGCCTGCTTCTCCCTTCACCATTCTCAAGGAGCTTTTAAGTTCCTTAGAGCTGGTCCTCAGGAAAGATCAAGTGGCATTACTCAGTGGCTAACACAAAGCTCACTCTTCACACTAACGTGTGATGTCTCTACATTAACTCAAGTGTCTCAACCTCTGCCGACTCCAGGGGACTTAAGATGGGACACTTCTAGAGACACTGGATGGCGCTGGTCTCCTCTACTCTGCTAGAAAATTTCCTTAATGAGAATAACAGTTCAGCTACTATCTCTCTCTGGAGGTTTAAGAAAGTCAAACTTCTATTGTTTCACCTTTGTCTCAAGAACCAACTTTAGGTTGAGAATTTTGGCAGACACACACACTTTTGATTTATTAGTCTTAATAGTGGTAGCACCAAGGAGAAAATGGCAAAGATGTCCTGAAAACCCGATAGGGCCCAAAGGAGCGTGGTTTAAGCAGCAAAAAAAGACAGTTACAGTGCTATGTAGTAGCTGCATGTTCTTGTCCATGAACACATGTGAAAAACTCCAGGGACTTTCAGAAATAGTGGGGGAGTGTGGAGTTCTCAAAGAAATTGCATGAATTGGTAGAAAAGAATAAACAACAGACAAGCTAAAATATGGAACCCCATTCCATCTTCAAAATAGCTTCTAAACATTTTGAAAATATCTGGGGCAGTCCAATGTGATTATTCATTTGTGCTTATTTCACTTTCATCTGTTCACCCACAATTAGACAGATATATATGTTTACATGCTTGGGGCTGTGTGTATATATGGTTATATAGCTATAGACATAGGTTTTTTTTTGTTTTTGTTTTTTTCAGTGGAGTCTCACTCTGTCGCCCAGACTGGAGTGCAGTGGCCACTCCCGGCCACCGCAGCCTCGCCTGCTGAGCTCCAGCGATCCTTTCACCTCAGCCTCCCAAGGAGCCGGAATTACAGGCATGCGCTACCACGCCCGGCTGATATTTTGATTTATTGTAAAGTTGAGGTCTCACTGCCTAGGCGGGTCTCGAACCCGTGGGCTCAGGCCATCCACTCACCTCAGCCTCCCAAAGGCGCAGGATTACAGGCTGAGCCACCAAGCCCGGCTGACATAGTTTTTTAATGAAGTTACAACTATAAATATAGTGACTGATGGATCTAGTCACAGTACATACAGGCTATAGAGTGGATGTCCGTTTCCCCTCCCAAAATTCTCATGCTGAAACCTAATCACCAATGTGATGGTACTAGGAGATAAGGCCTTTGGGAGATAATCAAGTCGTGAGGAATTCATATCCATGAATGGTACTAGTGCCTTTAAAAAGAGGCTCCAGAGAGATGCCTTGCCCGTTCCACCCCGTGAAGGCTCAAAGAGAAGTCGCTATCTATGAACCAGGAAACAGGTCCTCTCCAGAAACCCAATCGGCTGGTACTTTGAAATAGAATGTACCAACCTCCAGAATGGTGAGAAATGAACTTCTGTTGTTTATGTGCCACCCAGTTTGTGGTATTTTGTTGTAGTAGCTCAAATGAACTAACTCAATAAAGAATATACATGTTATCTTTTTCTAATTGTGGTACTTTTCTTTGTTCTAAAGTCTACTTTGATTTCAATATAGCCACTCCAATTCTTTTGGATAGAACAAAGCAGGAGAGCTAGTGTTACCTGATCTTTATAAAGCTGTAATAATCAAAACAGGATGGTATTGGTGTAAAGATCAACAAATACATCAGTAGAAACAAGGCCATATGGATGTGGAGAACTTACTTTTACAAAGGTACAAAAGCAATACAGTAGATAGAAGATAAAGTTTTCATACAGTGGATGAAAAGATAAAATTTTCAACAAATGACATTAGAGCAGTTGTCCATCCATATGCAAAAGTGCATTTGGATCATTACCTTATATGTTATATAAGAATTAACTCAAAATGGATCATTAAGCTAATTGTAAGATTTTCTTTTATAACTTTAGAAGAAAATTGTTGTCATCTTAGGTTAAGCGAAGATTTCCGAGATTGATAAAATAACAATTTGGAGTTCATCACAATAAAAAAAAAAATCTGCTCTAATTATGCTATTAAGAGAATTTTTTTTTTAAAGGCACAGAATGGAGAAAATATCTTCAAAGTATATACCCGATAGTGATGTGTATTCAGGATATTTAAGGAACTCTCAAACTCTACAACTAAAAAAAAAGCTCAATTCATTTAAATGTGCAAAAGTGTTGAGCAGACACTTCACCAAAAAAAAGTGATGGCAAGTAAATGACTGAAAAGAGAGTTAGTATCATTAATCAGCAGGATTAATTAGTTAAAATCAAATAAGTTAGAATGAATCAAAATCATAAAGAGATACTGCACCCATATCGGAATGGCTAAAATTAAGAAGATTAACCACTTCGAGTGTTGAGAGAATATGGGGGTACGGCAACTCTAATGCAGAGCTGGGCAATGGGATTTGGAATGCTAAGAGCCACTTTAGGAAACAATTTGTCAGTTTCCTTAAAAGTTATGCATAGGGCTGGACTTGGTGTCTCAGCTTGTCATCCCAGCACTTTGGGAGGCCGACGTGAGTGGATGGCCTGAGTCCGCAGGTTCGAGACCTGACAAGACCCGCAACCTGACAAGACCTCGTTTCTACAATAAATCAAAAATTAGTTGGGCATGGTGGCACACGCCTGTAGTTCTGGCTACTTGGAAGGCTGAGGTGGAAGGATCCCAGAACCCAGCAAGTTGACGCTGGGGTGGCTGTGAACATGCCACTGCACTCCAGTCTGGGCTATGGAGTGAGACTCCAACACACACACACACACACACACACACACACACACACATACACAGACACACACACACAAAGTTATGCATATACCTATCATAAGATAAAGCCATTCCATCCACTCTAGGTATTTACTTAAAAGAAAAGGAAATGTACATGAATTTTCTTTGCAGCTTTATTTGTAATAGCTCCAAACTAAAAACAACCCAAGTGTGCATATCAACAGGTAAACTGATGAACAGATTATGATGCAACCAAAAAGTAGAATAAGACTCAGCAATAAAATAGAATGGACATGCAACACCCTAAACGAATCTCAGAATAATTATGCCTAGTGAAAGATCCAGTTGAAAAGAAGAACATAAATTTCATTTATGTTAAATTGTGGGAAATGCAAGCTAATATACTCTAAGAGCAGATTAATGGCTCACTGGAGGCATGAGGGGGAGGGATAACAGAAGGGCACAAGGAAACTTTTAGTGCGACTGGATATGTCCAATATATTGACTGTTGTTTTAGTTTTATGGCTGCATACATATGTCAAAACGAATTAAATTGTGCAACTTAAATATGTATAGTGTATGGTACACAATGCCTGGAAACTATTTTTTAAACTATATCTGTTTTATATATTCATTGTTTTACTTCTGAAAAGCTACTATTGATTTGATGCACATTCTTAAGAAATAAGCAGCATGTAACCTAAACCCTATGGCTTACGACTTCAACCATGATAACTAGCCAAATCAACCCTTTACACTCAGCTCTTCAACTCAGCCTACCACATGCGAACCTCATACAAAATTCTCCACTTCTTTGTTGCAACTTTCAAATGCTAGAAGACTGTACATCTCTGAAATGATGGTTTCTTTTTTTTTTTTTTTTTTTTTTGAGTTGGAGTCTCACTCTGTCGCCCAGACTGGAGTGCAGTGGCCGCTCCCGGCCACCGCAGCCTCGACCTGCTGGGCTCCGGCGATCCTTCCGCCTCAGCCTTCCAGGTAGCTGGAATTACAGGCATGCGCGACCACGCCCAGCTGATTTTTTGATTTATTATGGAGATGAGGTCTCGCTGCCCAGGCGGGTCTCGAACCCGCGGGCTCAGGCAATCCACTCACCTCAGCCTCCCAAAGGCGCGGGATTACAGGCTGAGCCACCGAGCCCGGCAAATGATGGTTTCTTTCTTTTTTTTTTTCCTGTCTCAGGTTTATTTGTACAAATAGCACAGGAGGACACCAGCCCCATGCAGACAGCATCCTGGGGGTCAGATCAGTCCTTCTGTCCACACATTGGCAGATAGAGGCCTCTACTCTGGAGCTTTTGTGGGGGTCTGGGCACCTTTGGGAGCCTGAGCAGGAGCTGGAACTGAAGCTGGAGTTGCTGGAACTGAAGCTGGAGTTGCAGGTGAAGCTGCAGCCGGGACCTTAGTTTGGTCCTTGGCCTTTGGCCGGCAGAGCCTGTGGCCCTTGGCAATACGGGCACGAATACGCTTCCCAAGCTTGGGGTGGGCAATGTATGCACGTCGAGTAAGCTTGTGGCTAGGACCCTTTGGGATCTTGGGCTTAACCTCCTTAGGCTTTAGGAGGGCCTTGATAGCCTCAGCACGTGCACTCATGGCCTTGGCGTTGCTGGCCTGCATCTTCTTGTTGTGCTTCTTGGCAAAGCACATATCCCTCAGGAACTTGGGGTCCATCCCCTTAAGAGACTCGTATCTTTGTGATCGGGGTTTCTTGATGCCATTTCTGTGCCATTTTCGGGACTGGTTATGTGCGGTATGGTTCTTGGACTTGGCCATGTCTGCACCGTAAGCCGCGGCTCCTGAAGCGCCTGGGACCAGAAGAGCTGAAATGATGGTCTCTTTGGTGACTCTATCCCCTGTTGCATTTCCAGCTATAGATTCTGGTGTGTCAGTGCCCAAAGTGGGAGGGAGTTTACTTTCCAAAATGCTTTTGTGACCTAGTTCGATTCTTTCATGCAGTTGATGATACAGAGGAAGCCCAGAAAAGTAGTAACTTGGCCAAGAATTAAGGCGCGAACCTAAGCATCTAAACTCTAGGCCTTGGATCTTTTGCCAAGATCCAGAGTCAAGTGTGCAAAGACAGTGTAATGAGGAAAACAAACCTCGTGTGGCTTCTCCAAGGGAAAGACTTTGAAGCAAAAACTTGAAGCAGAACTGAGGAACTGAAAGGTGCTAGAGAATGAGGAGGGTTATCACAGGGAGAGGAAACAGCCTATGGAAAAGATGCGGCTGGTAGAACCAGAAGTCCAGTGTGGCTAGATGACAGTGAATAGTGGTGGAAGAGGGCTGTGAGCTGTGACTCCAGAGAGAGGTAGGGATTGGATCACACAGAGAGAGCCTTGTCGACTGAATTACAGATGCCAGACTTTGCTTTGAAAACAACAGGAAGCCACAGAAGTCTTTAACAGTCTGGTTTATAAATTTAAAGAGTCATTTGAAGGAGGGTAAAAGTACATGTGCAGAGACAAGTTAAGAAAACATGGCTACCATCTTGTAAGAAAGAAATTATGATGGCTTCAACAGAATAACGACAGAGAAAAGGAGAAATCTATATGGAGTCAAGAAACTTAAGGAAAATAAATGAACTCAGTATTAATTCAGGAACAAAAAAGGGTGTGGTTGGCATTAAAATCAGGAGCATTTAAGAATGGTATAATGGGCTGGGCTCGGTGGCTCAGCCTGTCATCCCAGCACTTTGGGAGGCTGAGACGGGTGGATTGCCTGAGTCCACAGGTTCAAGACCCGCCTGGGCAACTTGGTGAGACCTCGTCTCTACAATAAATCAAAAACCAGGTATGGAAAATAGAAAACCAGGCGTGGTGAGAGATGAAAAATTATCTATCAGGAGCAATGTGCACTGAGCGATAGGGATCCTAACAGCCCAGACTTGCACCCCTAAAGATATTAACATTTTAAAAGATCAGGACCAGAGGGGTACTTTGGCATCCTTTGGGTTTGCTTTATTCTTTTCTGGTCTGATAGCTTGTAGATTCTTGTACTGTACACAATATTTGCATAGCACATGCCCATTAGCTAATAAATATTATTTAGGGACAGTTCTCAGACACCAGACTGACTCTATCACTTTTCTAAACACACCTTGTTATAAACTGAACGTGGCCCCCACAAAGTTCGTATGCTGAAACCCTAACCCCTAAAGTGACTATGCTTGGAGTTAAGGCCTGTAGGGAGGTAATTAAGATTAAATGAGGTCATAAGGGGGGGCGTAATCTGATAGGACTAGTGACCTTATAAGAAGAGAAAGAGGCCGGGCTCGGTGGCTCAGCCTGTAATCCCGTGCCTTTGGGAGGCTGAGGTGAGTGAATTGCCTGAGCCCGCGGGTTCGAGAACCCGCCTGGGCAGCAAGACCTCATCTCTACAATAAATCAAAAAAATCAGCCGGGTGTGGCAGCGCATGCCTGTAATTCCAGCTACTGGGAAGGCTGAGGCGGAAGGATCGCCGGAGCCCAGCAGGTCGAGGCTGTGGTGGCCGGGAGCAGCCACTGCACTCCAGTCTGGGCGACAGAGTGAGACTCCAACTAAAAAAAAAAAGAAGAGAAAGAGGCACCCAACTCTTCTCTCTCTTTCCATTTTCACACAGAAAGAAAAGACCATGTGAAGACACAGAGAGGTATTGTCATCTGCAAGTTAAGGAGAGAGGGCCTCACCAAAAACCAGCCCTGCTGACACCTTGATCTTGGGTTTCCAGCCTACAGAACTGTGAGAAAACAAGTTTCTGTTGTCTAAGCCACTCCATCTGTGGCATTTTGTTGTGGCAGCTTGAGCTGACCTATAGCCTGAAGACACATGTCTTCTTTTTATGTCTGTTTCATTCGTCTAAGATTTTGATTACTTTAGGGTAAACCAAGAAGGAATATTGTCCTACGTCATAACAGAGCACATCATGGGAGAATATTTTCCAAGTCTATTTTGCTTTTCTCTTTCGTGTTTCGCTTTCAGTTCTCCTATCCAGACTTGTAACCTGGGAGCGTGGTGAATACAGAGTATGATGCTGGTGCTGGGCAGAGTCCTTGTTCCAACGATAAGACACATCGCTCTTATTAAATCCCACTTCTCCATTCTGAAGTTTTTGGCAGAGACGCTTTGGTTGTTAGTACTCTGAACTACCTAGGTCTGTCTTGGGACATCGCATGTTGAGCCCCATGGCTATGAAATGTGTCACTGTTTTTGAGCGTCAGAGGGAAATAGTCTATTTTTACAGTTGCCTAAAGACTTGCGATACAGAATCTGCGGCTGAATTAGCCAGGCGTGGTGGTACACGCCTATAGCTCTGGCTACTTGGAAGGTTGAGGTGGAAAGATCGCTGGGGAACCCAGCAGGTCGAGGGGGTGGCTGTGAGCATGCCAGGGCACTCCAGGCTGGGCAACAGAGTGAGACTCCAACTCAAAAAAAAAAAAACCACCAAAAAAACTCCCCAAAACCAGAAAGAATCTGGGACTGACCTTTAAAGCATTTGATCTGGATTTCCAGCAGACATACTCACCTATAACAAATTTCCATTCTGGGTCCATGTCTGAGGATACATTCAAAATACATCCTAGATGAGAGATCAAAAACTATTTGGTTACCTAGGAAACTAAAAACTCTTGTCTGTTTTCAGAGGTCTTGATCATGTTAGCTCTTTCTGATTTTAGTATTTTAGTACCATTATTATGGTGCATCTTTTTCATCCTTTATTTCTATCTTATTTGTGTCTTTATATTTAAGTCTTTATATCTAAAATAGACTTCTGAAGGTGGTGGATCGCTGAGACTGTTTTTTTAATGCAATCTGAGAATCCCTGCTTTATTCAGGGAGTCATGTATATTTTTTAAATTACATTTTGGTCATGTACATTTTATCACAATTATTGATAGAGAGGAATTTAAATATACTGATTTTCTATTTTTCCTATCTGTTCTTTTTCCACTTCATTTCGATTAACTGAATATTTTTCATTCCCCTTCTTCTGTTCATTTAGTAACTATAACATTTTGTTTTTATGTGTTCAACTTTTTTTCAGTGGCTTTAGGGTGTCTAGCAACAATTATAGATAACTAATGTGAGCCACATAAATAATTTATAATTTTTCTAAGAGCCACATTTTTAAAAAAATTAAAAGGAGGTGAAATTAATTAATTTTTTTTTTTTTGAGTTGGAGTCTCACTCTGTCACCCAGACTGGAGTGCAGTG